AAAAAAAAAAAAAAAAGAAAACATATATATCACTATTATAGATTTTTCGCTCTCGAAATCTATTACCCATAGAAATGGAGAGCAAAAAATCTAATTGTTTAAGTATAAATCTACTAGTCGGTCAAAACTTTATCTAAATCCTTTTCACAGACACTTCGAAAACACAAAGAATCGACCGTCATTTTGGTAATACGCGCACACTGCTACGCTGCTTACTATCTACAACAGAATAGATAGTGAGGAGAGTAGCCAATCAGCAAACTGCATTCGTCATAGAAGGCTAGTAGATTTATACTAATCTGTGATAGATAATGAGTAGCTGAACACATTTTCACTCATTTCTTTGTTGTTTCGATTTATGTTGCCATCATACACTACTATTTAATATTTGTCAGAAATCACTGTGAATCAGCAAAGTGGTTTCCTCATTTTCGCACCTGGAAAATGCAGCAAGCTTAAGTCATCTGTATCAGTTCCGAGGTACTTTTTCTTGTCTGGCCAATGTCTTCCCCAATTACTGAACACCAGCACTATTACATCATCTGGAATCTTTCCGTGCTTTCTCTCCCAGGCCTCCAAATCACTCGGCATCAACTGGGCATCAGGATTCTTGATAACATTAAAAGAACGAATACATTAATTTTATCGTGGCACCAGCATGTTAGAAAACTTGGATGTCCGTGCAAACTCTTGCCTCAAAGATTATGACGTATCGGCCACGAGACGCCAAGCGACTCTTAACTGACCTTACCTCTTTTGCGACTACAGGCGACATGTGATTTGAAACACACACGTGTCATCTATCGTATTTCGGTATTTTATGTATTGTATAAGTTTGCCAACAATATATTGCGCCCGTTTCTCTCGGGTACAAACTTATCAGTACATAGCGGTTTTCCACATCGCCAAGTCTTGGACGTTTTACATCTATCGGGATTCTCTGCAGGCGCGTCTCATCATGACAAACTGGGCACTGGACTTTTAAAAAGTAGTAAAACCTTATCATGAAAGGGGACAGAATGGTTTTGAATATGATATAATTTGAAGCGTAAAACAAAACATCATTATGCTTGAATACGTTTCTTTACCAATCAACTTTTCAACAAAATTACATCTACCTCGGCAGCTTTGGAAGATATGTCTATCTTAATTGCAGGTCCAATGAGGCGATCAAGAGGAATTTCATCTGCTGTCCATTTTCCCTCGCCAAAATGACTCGGCGCATCTAAGTGAGTGCCGCCATGTTCAGCACCACTTATGTCATATTTTGAGACGTAAAAACCATCATCAGTAAAGCCATCAAATACTTTAGTATGCTTGAATGTCAGTGAAGTAGGCCAATAAATGGCCTCATTATTAAATGGATACGATAGCTCAACCCATTCTTGCTTGAGTGGACCTCCCAGCACTGGGAAGCAAAACAATGCACTCAATACTAGCTTTATCAGTGTTGCCATGGTTCCTGTCGAGATAACGAATGAAAATGAGTTACTGCGACCTCAAAGATGTTATTGGCCACATGCTGCCTTAGTGGGTTTTTTTTTTTTTTTTTTTTTTTCTGTCAGGGCAAGCAAATCGACTCCGTGCGTGACTCCAGAATCCGTGCTGTTCAATATGAACGTAATTAGACGAAAAACGTCTCGTTGACTGCTAAAGTTGGACTAGGCCACTGGCTGAGATCTTGGCTGTGAATGGGATTGTTTTGATCTCAATTACTTCCAAATTAGTCTAAATTGCAGTCTTGTTACTTGTCAAGGATACTGTACACGAAGATCTCAATCGCCCGTTGGCTCGGATAGCTTTCCCAAAAAAATAATTTGGACAATGCGCCAATTTTAATTTTCAAATAATCATGCTTGTACGGAATTTTAATCTGACAATGTTTGTTTCAGTATCTACCTTGATAGCATGAACGCTCAGCTTTTTTTCAGATTTTTTTTTCCAGCTGATCTTATTCGATGGTGGACTCTTAAAAATTCGAATATTCTGGTATTTTTTTTTTTAATTGTGAAGCCCTCAATTTTTAATTTACCCAGGCGGTTTAGTCCAACATTCGCAGTAATGAAAATCCCTTTTCACCCGACGCATATCAAGTTGGTCTGCGAACAAGATGTCGAGGTTATTCAGTATGCATTTGAATCATGGAATTGCCGGTAAGAAACACTTTCTAATATAACAGGCATGGGCGGTAAAAGACTAGAAGAAATTTCACTTTAAACAAATTAGAGTATATCAAAGCACGAAATACATTCTTACCTCAGCGTGGTATTGCCACCTTTTGCGGGTTAGGACAACAGAACTCACCGCAGCGCTTATAACGCTTATAACACAGCGCTTATAACGCCCTAATCAGATCTTGCAAAGATTACCACCAAAGTTTTAAATTTTCAGAAGGATTAAAAGTTAAACCCAGCGCAAAGCGAAGTTCACTTTGTTGACCACTGTAGCCAGGGGTAACTTGCTACTTTCCAGGGGGAATTTAAAAAATAAATTATAATTTATAATCTAAAAGATGCCTAAATGCTAATTTAATAGATAGAAATCTCTCCAAAGCTCATATATTTTTTTTGTGATCATATGATTTACACGAACATAAAGGAGAAAGACGAATAAAAAAGAGAACAAAATGACATAGGGGATCCCTGTACTTGGTAAGTGAAGGATGCTGTCATTAGTAAATGGATCTCTCCTTGTGCACTTGGATTATTTCCCTCTGACAGACATTTAAGATTTGAAGTGAAATTCAATTCCAGTCTCATTATCTTGTGGTTAGTTTCTGTTGATGTAGGAGACAGACATGTAACTAAATGTAAATTTGTAGACAATACACACACAATGCAGATGCAGATGGTACAGTATACTTCTCCTTTTAAGGGCGTTTGCACGAAAATTTTCCAGTTGATAGATTTTTTTCAAATTTTTACTGCAGTCAGATAATGAGTTACTAGTACTTGTGTCAGAAATGCAAAAAAAAAATTGGTGGTCACCAACTTCGTTTCAGAGATAAAGCATAAGGGGGCCGCTGTAATTGGCTAAGCTGTAGCGGCTTCCCTGGCCATTTTGTTTTGTTTTGCTGTCTGTTTTTTTGTTTTTTGTTTTTTGCTTCCTCTTCTTTTTCTTTTTCTTTACGTGTAATAGTAGGCCGAAGCTTAATAAATAAAATAAATAAATAAATAAATATGCAAAATTACCCTGATTTTGAAAAGTTGGCGCACATAATTCAGCATGGTCTAGAGGGGTTTATAGTTGGCCCAAGCAGCCCATACAGTTACAGTTTATCCCGGTTTCTATAGCACTAAGTGACTAGGGCTGGAGTGTTTCTACTCTCCCTGGATGGGATGCTATTCCATTATAGGGCCCTCCTCAGGATAAAACTTGTTGGTACCCATGTATACACCTGGTTGACGAGAGGTGCTGTGAGAGTTTACAGTGCCTTGCCCAAGTACAAAATGCAGAGACCCCAACCAGGTTTCACACCTGGGGCCCGTCTCTCAAAAGGCCCAGAATCTTTTCGCGCCCAAAAAGCCATTTTTAGTTAATCAGTATTTAAGACAGAGAGGTGTATACACCTGAAACTTCTTGTATGAAGAGAACCTCTTTTCCTATGAGGAATATATGAATAAAACAGCTCTTTAGTCAAAAGGTTTGAGATTTTGCCACGGCTTTCCACGATCTTCGAGAAACAGGCCCCTGGACTGCTCAATGATCTGTAGTCCAACATGCTAACCATGAGACCACCACACCTTCGCCTTTGCACAAACAATAAAATTATACAATGTAACATTTGGTCGTCTTTTTAGGTACCTGATAAATTTCTTGCTGGACTCTACCCTTGGCCTTGTTGTCATCTACCTCTGTCTTCAATTTATGCAAGTTGTGGTCAGGATTTATGACTGGGATACTCTGAGATTTGGCGAGTATGGTAAGCTGAACATAAAGACAACTTTATGACTAAATAAATGATAATCAAAGAGCTGGGTTGTGTAGCTATGAAGTGATTGAGTGTTCCCAAGCCTGAGTTTTTTTTAAATTTACGCAAATTATCCATGGTGTCTTGATATTAATTGTTTGTAGACATTGTTATTTTTTTTGCCTTTATATAATTTTTTCCTTGTGTTTATAAAGGACATTAATTTTTGTATTAATATCAAAAAAGAGATGGTGTCCCTTGTAGTGGAACCATACTGTATATGGCTGATTGTTTGAACTAATTTTGCCATCCCATTAGTAATTTTAAACATTATTTTAAAAATTACTATTTTCAGAATTATTCCAGAAAATATCCTCCCTGACCACAGGTCTTTTTTTGCTCTGAATCCTCCTACCCCTGTGATGCTTTCCTTTAAAATTTTGTATTTGAAGTGCCCCCACCCCATATCTCCATCCCCAAGGAATTTTCTTTGACCTTCTGTGACAACAAAATTGTGCAGTGTCAGAAAATATCCTTAACCACTCCAAGGAACGTTAATGGCAATCCCAACGGAGAGAGGGGTTTCAAAAGCCAAAATATTTTAACGCAAAGTGTGGAGCTTACTTGGAATTTCCAGGGGGCGGAATGGAGGGGCTGGAACTATAAAAACCATAGGAGGGCTATGGATATTTTTTAGAGCAATAGGCAAATCTTTGTTTACACTTTTTGTCTCATTAACATTTGCTTATCACTATCTGATGACGCTAATGAAAGAAAAACTCTGAATATTGGAAGGGCAGAACACTTTCAGTTACCTCTGAAAATTTGAGCCCAATACATGGAATGGTTTCAGAGAAATTCTCTTCTAAAAACTCAAAATTTTACAGAGAAATGTATGGCTCATTAACTTTTTTGCCACACAGCAATTTGGCATTTTCTGATGGCTGATTGCTTGTAAAGAGCTGAAAATTGCACAAATTGCTCAACTTAATCAGCTTTATCACCTTTTGCATTTAGTTCATATATACGGCCATGGGTTCTAAGAGTCAAGTTGTATGTTAATGAGGAAAAATGTAAACAATGGTGTCAGCAAAGATTCGCCTATACAATGGTGCCATGATTTTCTAGAAGCACGCATTCTGAGTTACTAATACTCTTGTTTTATTGTTTTATCAGGAAACCCTCCACAGTGCAAAGCTTGGGCAGGGCAGTGTTTTTTGTACCTCTGGGCCGTCATCATTGAAAAAGCCACTATCACACTGTTAGTACAGCTCAACTTCTGGAAGGATGTGCGCAAGCTCATTCTGCTGCCAGTCAAGCACTATCCTAGAGTGGAACTGGCTATTTCAATGTTAATTATTCCTTTTGTGTTTAATGTAAGTAGTATCTTTAATTAACTAATTACATGTAGCTCACTTTGGTAATAGTTAGCATGGTTTGCACTAGCCTTCAAAAGTCCTTGAAAAATTGCTTTTTTCTTGAAATGAAATGGTTAGGTTTTCTCAAAAAGTCCTTGATTTTTTCAACAGTTTTTGTCTAGAATTTTGTTGACAAGTCCTATTGATACTGCAGGATTAAAAAATAAATAATAGTTATGTTATTGTGGATATGCAAACTCACACCTTTCAATTCAAGAAAAACATTTTTGAGTCTACACTTTGCCATTTTGAGATTACATGTTCCTCCATAGTCTTAAATTCTACATGTAAATTCTGTTTTTATGCTAGTTCACCTTTCCCCCTTTGCAGTTGTACTTCACATTTAGATTCAAAGGGTTTGATGAACATTTTCAGCAGAAGGGCAACTGGTTTCTAAGCAGGCAACTTTTCTTTAGATGGTCAAACCAGGCGGGCAAAATCATCCTCACATCCAGTCAATTTGCCTGGTGCTGGGTCCTTAATGAAATCCCTGAATTCTCAGTCAGTTTGTAATTTTTTTTATTTTTTTAGGCCATAATGTTCTGGGTCGTAGACAATTTCCTCATGCGAAAGAAGAAAAAATTACTACAAAAAGATGACACAAGGAGCAAAGTCAAGTATGAGAGGCGCTCAGTGGTGAATGGATCTGATGAAGAAGCTGTTCTTTTGGACAACATGGTCGAAGGAGAAAGTGTAATGATTCCGGATGATAACATTTATCACAGGGATACTGTAAGAAGATGATATCAGGCAAACTGCTATAGAGATGTAGTTGAAGGTAACTGGTTTACCACTATGCCGTTATTTCTTGACAATATCTGAATTGGTTGGTATGTTTGCATCAGTCCAAGAGAAGTCGTGTGAACCAGAGAGCTTCCACTGCACCTTTAAGAAATACAGTAGCTTGGTAGCATTGGTCATATCATAAGTGTGGATCATTAGATTATAATGCACGCTTACACTGTACAACAACAACAACAACAACAACAACAACAACAACAACAACAACAACAACCTTTATTAACGTGTCTGGGGTATTTAGCATTGCTGCTAATTGGGGACACACACACAAAAAAGGAAGTACGTATACTGAGTTTAATAGCTCCACTTTGTTAGTCATGGTACACCCGTGTACATGTAGTAATAAATGAAAGAATTCAGTTCTTTTTGGCCAGGAAATGCTGACATTGCTGACATCTTGTCAGTTTTTCGGCTGCATTACACAGAATATAATTCTAGACTGCAAGATACACGTATGCCGTTATGTTGTTTTGTTTATAATTTTTGTTTTGTTTTGCACAACCAAACAGTTTAATTATAGGTACCTCGGGGGTTTCGTTTAACGTTTTTAGCTGGAGGCAGCTGGTTTTCACGGGTGGGCAACACAGTTTGAACTGAGCTATCTTTGTAAGAAAAACTTTCTCTAGATGGTCAAACCAGGTGGCCAAAATATTCCCCACAGATGGTCAATTTGCCTGGTGCCCAGTCCTTAATGAAACCCCTGAGTACCTGCATGTAAAACACTTGTCAAAAAAAATCAGCTGCTTCAACCACTTTGTTCTAAGGAGAGGGGTGAATAGGTTTTCGGATCGAAGGATTTGGCCTTAAAAAGCACACGGATTGTGGATTTTTGCGGTAAATCGAGCGGATTCGCGGATTTTGAAAACACAGTGGATCGTGGATTAGCTGTAAATTTATGGCGCGGATTCCGGATTGTGCCTGTCTTGATGTTCGGATCTTGGGTCCTAAGCGAAATCTTGATCATAGATCTTTCTTCAGCCTTGGTGGTATGTTAATGAGTTCATCCAAATTACTTTTTTTTTCCGAACGAAGTTTATTTAAACTCAGGCGTGAGACTGTTTTTGGAATTGTACAATATTATAGCCATCAAGTATGCTGCTTTCTTTACTATTTGTGCGAAATTAACAATGGCATTCACATTTACCAGTTTACTTTCGAACTTTTATACTTCTGTTTCCGGATATGATTGTGGTTTCGGATTTCAACAAAAATATTGGCGGATCGACGGATTTGGCGGAAAAAAGGCACGGATTGGCGGATTTGCATAGCCCTATTCACCCCCTCTCTAAGACTTTGTGTGCGTGTTCCCCTCAAAAATGTTCTCTATAGTTATGATTTCTTTTTTCAGTAACACAGAATTCTCAGAACTAACGCTAAAGGATTTGTATGCTATTCGGTAAAGAGAATTGATATTTTGAGTACCGTAAAGATTAATGCTCTGGATATAAATGCATGTTACCCTTTATAATTTTTTTTTTATTATCGTGTCTGCTACGTAAGAGCACTACATGAGACAGCTAGCCTCTTTTCATCACAGTTGTATAAATTGCACCAAAGCGAGCTTAAGTAAAACAGTATTATGGGATGGATTGGCAGACCAACGCGCGAAAAAAGGCTGATGTGAAAATATACCATCTGTTGACACAAGGAATATTTTTTTTTATGATTGGCAATTATTTTATTTAACAAAGGTGGATTCTCTTTTTTAAACAGTGAAATTTGCATCACAAGTAAAATTATTGCATTTTTCTGTTGAATATCCACATTACTGGCTGATAGTAAAGCCAAAACTGCACATGTCAGTTATTTTATCGACTTAAAGCTATTTTGGTACCTGTTCCTCGCGTACTAACTTGAATTCTCATTGGCTAGCTTTAGAAAACCAATGTGAAATTCATGGTGTGATAACGTGACAAAGGCACTGATTGTGTTACAGTAACGCCGCGATCCAAGTTTATTTCTTTTCTTACGTTTTGTCACTTACAGTAGATTATAACTATACTTAGATGTTACAATTTGTAACAAAGTTTTTGAAATACCTCAGAATACCATTTTAAAAATATCTGAGAACCTAATATAAGAACGTAGAATTTAAATGAACATATTATGAAGAATTTCAGTTTCAAAGTTTTCCCAATGAAGTCGAAGTCAACAATAAACATTGCATCCGAAATTATTAAGACGCTGAGTCACCAAATAGTACATATCACAGTAAATGATCGTCCTGGTGAGTGTAGTTCTGAAAAGAACTGTTGTTGGTGACTGACGTTTCGACAACCTGAGCGGNAGAGAAAGCTAATTAAGACATGTCGACAAACCAATTGTCTGTAACAGCTTGGTGATCTGGGCTCTTTTTTCTGTCATTCATTACGGTTAGTAACATCGCTACGTGGCCGGGATAGAGTGGGGCTACCTCGGCTCTAAAGCTGCGCAGACTTTTACTCTTGTTAAGTCTTCGCCTAGGTTGTTGACGGAGATGAGGCCGTGAATAAAACATGCAAAAGCTGCCATCCCTTAAATGGCAAAACAGGATAACATATCGGGAAGCACATGCTAAAGGATAAACAAAAAGGCGCGCAAGATACGCGAAAAACACCTACCCAAGGGATGGCACCCTGAGCGTCAGTAATCCGACTAGGGCCTTAGACACCCTTTCAGGCTACCATGGGAAGAAGGGAAACGGTGCAACAGCACATGCATAATAAGATAAATCCAACATAGTACTGATGGTTTGAACCCAGGAGTATCAGTAGTCCTCATAGAGCGATCGTCGGGGTGATGTAGTTCTGAAAAGAACTGTTGTTGGTGACTGACGTTTCGACAACCTGAGCGGAAGTCATCTTCAGAGTCAAGTGAATAGTGTTTGTCAGTCGATTGTGTTGTCACCAACAACACAGTTCTTTTCAGAACTACGTACCCTCACCCGGACGATCGCACTATACGAACAACACAACTCCAAGTTCATTGCACAAGTTACAAGAACATAGGTGTACAAACTAAAAGCAAAACAAGGGGATAATGTTGCTGAAAATTACAAACCAAGAAAACAAGCGAGTAAAAAGTACAGGAGCCAAGGTAATATATAATAGTACATGCAGCCAAAACATCATAACATCACTTAATAGTACAAAGCAATATAAAGCGGGCAAACTAAAGGGAGCCGAGTGGAAAAAACTCTGAACAAACCTGATGTTTGTGAGGCAAAGCTCGTATACCAAAACCATTATTGAATATTAATTACTAAAGTAGAACACGAGCGTGTAAACATGAAGGTAGCCGACGGAAAAGCAATGTACCAGCCCGACGTTTGTAAGCCAACGAATACATGAAGTAATAAACAGTTCTGCCTCTTCACAGTTGAAGCTTGCAAACACTTAAAGGGAGAAAGAGAAGGCAGAGCCAGGGAAAGAAGCCAGGCAACGAAACAAGGGACAAACGTGCGCAAATAGAAGTTTCCGTTTGACTAAAAGTAACAAACCATAAGAAAAAGTTCACTTATGCCAGTAAAGGTGCTGGAATGGGGTCCCCATAAACTGCAAGCAGCATACGACACGTAAAGTTACGAAGTGAAGGATTCTAACGCGAACTGGGCTGAAATTAGACTGCAAAACAGTCGTATTTTTTGCGAATGCCGGTAACAGTGAATATTCGAACGAATAGTCTGAAGCGAATGTAAAAACGGCGAGGGCGAATGGATCGCGGTTACGGCGCTTCACGCCTTCCGAAAACGTCCAAAAACGACTGTTTTGCAGTCTAGGTTGAAATGAGCTGCATAACTCTTATTTATACTCGCTTAATAAGGGACTTGTGGGAATAATCTAATTGTTAATTAGAGACAGAGACAAACCAGCTGCGCGCGGGTATATATGGTGCATTCCAGGGCATGTCACAGCACAACTTGTGCAAGTGTTCTTACTTAATGGGTTCGTTAAATAAACACCACAGACATCTTAGTTTATTTTTAATCAAAGCGTTTTGGTAAATTTATTTAATTTTTCACAGTGTTGCGGGAAAGAGCGGGATTCTGAAGGTTAAGAGCAACAGGCAGTAGTAAAATAAGTCTGCAGATGACGCTGTGAAGCACATTTATGCCGTCGGGTATGAAGTCAGAACCTTATCGGTGTCTCTAAAGTGGATGGTTTTTATCGTGACGGGCACACCACCTATATTGCATGTGCAGTCACCCGGCTCTCCAAAAAAGCATGCTGTATACAGCGCCATCTCAAAGGCAGGACTTGTTCCCACGTAGAAACTGCTACCCGGCGGCTTGTTGACACCCTTCCAAGAAAATTTTACGTTGATAAATGGCGGCTGCGATGACACAAAACAAAGAAAAAAAGTTAGCGATTTAGGCAAGGCGTCTCCTTGAATCAGTTGAAAGTAATCTTTAGATATCATTGCAAGAGCACAAGAAGCCATTACCTTTTTGGTTGTGTCAACCTTATTCGTTGGGGGTGGTGTGTAAGTTAATCTTCCTGCCGTTTGTTCTAGGTGAAACTGGTACCAGTTATGAAGACCTTTTACAACGAGATTCTTTTTTTTCTTGTCGAGGCCAGTTTCACCTGTTGCAAAATAAAAAACGCGCAAGGACTTTCCTTTGAATTATGTAAAATTGCAACCATTTTGACATGAAATATAACATTCCCTATTTCAAGAAAATAGGCACTGAAAGCAACATTTTAGTAAAAATCAATGGACCAGGTCAAATTTGTCGCTTTGTTTTTTCAATTTGATGTTCTTCCCGCTTTTGTTTTATTTCTTCGGATATTTTTTTTGTGGCTTGAAAGAATATAGCCCTTAGCACAGCTTTCATGGTGTCTGCTGCCATGTGAGTATAATATTTTCTATCATCATCATTAAACACCTGCAATTTGTAGAGTAGAAATGAGACGAATAACGAGAACAACTAATATTACATGTATATATTAGTTATGCATCGTTTTCGAGTGGTAAACCATGGAATATTCCACGAGCCACTTGCAGTTTTTTTCGTTATACATATGAGCCTTAAGGTGAGTGTGTACACCAAGAAAATACAAGTGACAAGTGGGATATTCAATGTTATACCCCGAGACAGCGTTATATAACTATTTTATACCATGCCATAGAGGATACAGTTGCCAAAACAATCAATGCGACATACGCGCGGTGCATGATGGAAGGCTGGATGTAATACCGTCGAATATAAAACGGCTTTCCTGTATTCTGATCGGCTGTATTTTCTATGGCATGGAATAAGTATATCTTATTAGATGTTTTGGTGTGTAGTATCGCTGTATATTTTTTCGAGTTGTACCGTATTTTGAAAAATACAAACAAGGAGTAAAAATATAAAGCGATACTACACACTAAAACATCTAGTAAGAGATTTATTATCCAACTACTGTATTTATCCGTGAAAGAGGGAAAGTGTGACAGTTTTGCGTGCGCGCACAGACCTGTCCGGCAAACGTATTTCCTACTGTACAAATAACTGTACAATACACTGAATGCAAATATGGCGGACCGCTCGGTTGGCGCCCGGGACGAGTCGCATGCAAGCGAGGCTAGTCAGGCTTTGATGTTTTCTTTTGACAATGCTTCGCCAGAAAAGTTTTGTTTCATCGTCGATCTGGTCCGCTTTTGTTTCGCCCTCCGTATAAGTTGTTGTGTTCCTGAATGCCACTAGAAAGAATTGAAATCTTCCNACCACTTGGCAAAAAATTAAAATTTATCACAATTCATCATTTCGTCAGTATGGCAATCTTCCTCGTGTTAAAACAATCTTTTACTCACTTGCTGCGCTTTTTACCACTCCAAAATAAAATTCATATCTCCGCGCCGCCGTTTCTATATTCTCTATATACTGTATCTTCGTATAGTTTCCCCAAAAGTGGATTAAATTCAGAACAGTACAGAACAAAGCAGAACAGAAAAAAATATATGATCACACAGACAAGAGGCTAAAGCTGAAACCGTCAATTTTTGAAATTAACTTATTATTAGAAAAGATATCAGTGAAGTCACCTATTGTTATTAATATGCCAACCAGAGAACTATTGGCTGGTGAAACAAAGAACTCTTTTGTTTAACATTTTGAACATTTAAATAACAAAACAATGTATGCAAACGAATATCTTCCCTATTAGCAGCGTTACATTACGTACCTTGATCGCCTTGAAGCTAATTAATGTGAAATCAAGATCGTTCGGTAATATCTTACCGCGGTGGTGGTCTTCCCAGCTGCCTGCAGGTACTTGAAAGCGATGTCCATAGGTCCACCTTCGACGGCGATAGTGTTTATGAAATCATCTTCCTCAGTCGCCTCCTTGGGATCGCCCACTTCCGGCTTCAACTCATCCGGAACGTAGTTATCTAAAAGAGCTTTTCAAGCAAACAATTACGTAAATATTATAAGAAGAGCAATTATTTCACAATGTATATTGATAATACAAACACGGTCAGTAACACGAATATGATTTTGCTCAGATTTTAGCTAGATTTTGTGTGTAAATTAGTATCAACGATTTCAGCAACCTCTCGTAATAAAAAAAACGTCTCCAAAACGTCTAAAAACACACCATAAAATGATTTGAATCAGAAATTTTTTTGCCACACTTTTTAAAATTGTTTTCTGTAGTTATTGAAGGAGATCACATCAACTAAGAACGCTGCTAACGAAAGTGTTCGTATCACATTCTACTGTACATAGGACTAGTTTAAGCATCGTTATCTGCTTGAAGAAATAGAAAACGTATTTCTATCCCTTTTTTTTTACACAATCAACTCTTCTGAAAATCTTACCCTTGAATTTGGTGTACACGGCATTTTTTAGTTTGCCTTCACCAGTTGATGTTAAAGTGAACAACTTTTTTGCGGTGTTGGACGTGTCCACTGTCAAGTCAGTTCCCATGATCATATTATTCCCGGATGCCTTCCACATGTTTTCACAGACGTCTCCTAAGTTTCGACGAACTCGAATTCCCCTGAAAACAGACGTGAAGTGTTTCAAATATTCTCTTAATTGAAACGAATGGCTTTCCGAAAGTAAGGTACGTTAGTTATTTAGAACTGTATTCAAGTCTAGATAGACGAGCACTCAACTCTGGTTAATTTTTAAGTTATTTAAATATAGTCTCCTACCGCTCACTGGATGGGATACTAGTAATGGAGAGAGGCTCTTTCAAAGTAAAGACTTTGGTCTAGACACAATTATACGATTTTTATTACAGTCCGTACATCTGCCAAGGAAAATCTTGGCAGTGTGATAAAAGGTTTTTGGTCTTGGAAAGCTGCTTATAAACTTGGCATTACAAACTTCATAAAATCTATGCACATGAAAGCACTTTAAAAACTTTGGAAAACTCGCTCGCTGCAGGAAGACAAAGACCTCTTACAGCCTATCAATTTTTTTGGAGACCAATTGAAGAGACCAAATTTGGCTCAGAGAGCAGAGTTTAATCAAGAACACAACCAGAACGTCAAGAGAACCTAACCCAATATGGAACAGTGGTATACACTGTTCACCAACTGGAGGGGGTGGGGAGGGGTGTAACCGAAGAACAGTTTAGAAAGCACCTGTATTTATGCTAGCCTCTCAAAACAATGATCTAATCAAGCGATTCCAAGGCAAGACAAGGTCATAAATATTAACTACTTCCAACCTCAGGTAGGTCTCACCAGAAGGTGTTACATGATAATACAGACAGACAGGTGGTTATCATGGTAAGTTATCTTTCATAAGCTGCTTACTGTTGGCTTTTCTATTTTTACGAAGTACCGGCAAATTTCCTCTACTTATGCGACACCTTTTCTGTCCTAAGGAATTCCGTTAATGGCGCAAAGTCGTTTTCCCCACTTCTCAAGTCTGGCATTTAATTGTGGAGTAAGTAACGGGAAGGCGCGATTTTGATTTAGTTTTATAGCTTTTCAGCGAGGAATTTCTCTTTTTTAAATCTATATTCGTCAGGCCTTACGTCAAAGTATCTCACACTCCACAAAACCGCCGCTGGATTAATGTTACAAGGTGAACTAAAAAGAACTAAGTTCACGACAACTAATGCTTTAACAAGCTCACAGAGCTTCTATGGATGCGTATTCTTTTGTTTTCAAATTCAATTAATATAGCCCCCGCAAAGGTAAACAAAAACATTCTGTATGTAATTAAACAAAGATAGAGTTGTAAAGGAGCGTTGCGTGACGACCCTAAAAACGGCTGCGAAAGAGACTAAACCAAACTATGGAAATAAAATGTTCCAGCGTACAGTAGTGAAAGCAAAAGAAACTAAACTGAGAATCTGGAGAAAATTTCTACGAAATCTTCGGCCACACAGAATGATTCATTAAATCATTATATGAAAGAATGTTATTGCCAATAGTCGAAAAGTTTTTGGATATTTTAATCGAGTCTCTTCTAGAAAATGGATATGTTCTCAAAAAACAAAACAAAACAAAACAAGAAAAAGCAAACAAACAAACTAGTGAGTTGTCTTGATGTGATGCTTTACCATTTTTCTTGAAGTAGGATTTGGAATGAATTTGACGACCAATTAAGTACTGGGAAACCTGGAGCTCGCTAGATTCAGTAAACGTGCAATTCGAATCAAACTGACGAAACTTATGAACACGTTCATTCATTTGTTATTTTCACGAACGTTCTAAGTGATGCCTAGTCAAGATATAAAGTTGTTGATTTCAGTGTTTTGGTCAGAGGAGGCAAGATTGCAAAGGAAACAAACAAAAGGGTGGTCTGTTCCATTTTGATGAGAAAAAAATAATTATTTTAAAGAATAAAAATGAACAGCTTACCGTGCTTCAATTGATGATACGGACACTAAGCAAATGATCAGTGATTTAATCCACATTTTCAGCAGTTGTTCGAAAGTCAAGCTCTGTTCTTCTTTTACCAGCTAGCAGTGACTTCCTTTGGAAAGAAGACCAAGATCAATTAAGGCCGGTTTAGCGATTGATCGAAATTTATTACGTAACTTAGCACTTGACTAGTCAATGGCGTCAGTGAAACATAATCTAAAAAATATTTTACGCTAGAATAACATTATCACAATATAAGTGATCCCATTAGCACTTGTCTTCTCGGTGTCTTATTCTTATCTCGTCAACAGTAATGAATGTACCCGCCCCGCAGAATGGATCACCCGCTTACCTTAATCCCGACACCAACTGGACATTAAGACCGAGAACTTCATGCACTATCAGTCGGCTTGCAAGTGATGATAAAGGCCGTTTACAGCCCCCAAAATATGGTCGAAATCGTAAGGCGGCTGTATAAGGGGTGTGACAGAACGGTTAGCTTCTCCACCTGTTTTTTTACAGTTAGATGAACGCATAACGATAAACTTGGAGTTAAATGATAACAAACTTCTAGTTAATGACATGGCAATTAAGGTTATGGATACCAAAGGTTACTAGATACGTAATTTAGTGTATTATTATATGACTAGCTCCGTGAGCGGGCAAGATGAACTGAATCTCGCGCTGTGATTGGCTACCCGAGCGGGCAAGATGGAGCTATCTTGCCCGCTCGGGATAAGGGCTTTCAGTCACCAACAACAGTTCTTTTCAGAACTACACTCACCCGGACGATCACACTATACGAACTACAAATAGTACATATATTTATTTTAGTTCTAATTTTGTATTTTCTGTTAAGAATGCGACATGTTTTCATTATCGGTTCTCGAAATTTTAGCTGGTGTAGAGTTTATAAGTTTATGAGGAAATAGAAAAACACTGTTGAAAAAGAATTATATGTAGAAATAGTTTTTCAGGTATATTGGTCAGATTACTCGCTCGTATACAGTTAGAATACGAAGCGGCTCCTCGGAAATCTACCCGAGGTGTCTCCTGTTGTTATTATCCAATCAGAAAAGAGAATGTGCATTCCGAACGCACTTTTTTATACTAACATTGTGATTTCAAAATGTAAGTGCGAAATAAAGTGAAGTCGAAGTTGAAGTTGAACGCAAACTCGTTTAAGTTCACCGCGAAACAAAGGAGCTTGTCGTTAAAGGAACTCAGTGACGTACAAAATAGACCTTTCCTGCATTCCAACAAACAATGGCGCCGAGTCGAGGTCAGGGTGGCCAAAAATACAGCAAATGTCTGAAAATGTCCACCCCAACCTCGCTCTGTAGCTATTGTTCGAACGCAGTGAAGTGGAATCTGTTGCCGTTAACTGAAAAGAAACCTGAAAATAGTAGTTTACTAAGATAGAAAAACACCAAAGAGATAATAATAAACCATAGAGGAACAAGGATGATTGAGGATGGAGAAGATTAACACGGATTACAAACGACGAACTTGAAAAATTTAGGCTTAACTTTTCAAGATGAGCAAACTGTGACGTGGCTCCTTTAAACAACAGTCAAAATCGCTCCTCCGCGAACTAAGTGAGCCCGCGTTTCGCGGTCAGGGAGCACACTACTTTATAAGGTAACGTAGCATGTGTAAACATGTATTCATGTATGGTTTGTTGACTAATTTGTGTATAGTGCTGGTGCTCTTTTCTGATTGGATAGAAGATTCCATAGCTCCCACAAGTGTATTTTGTTTACTAGTAAGGATGTGTTGTAACATGGTGTAACATACCTAGGCCATGAATACAGTTGCAAAGAAACGTTTTGTGGGCTTTGCGAGAATCCTGCGCGAATATTTCCCAACTGAAACTTGTTGATTAGTGAAGTTTATGAAGTTTTAATTCAATCCACTGTTTCCTGATATGTTAGTTATCAAAGAAGTTTGAAATAAAAAAGTGTTTTACAGTTAGTCTCAATTATTACCTCCGTTTAGCCAAACCGAACTTGTTCTTCCAATGTCTTGACCACCACCANCCCCCGCCCTCCCCTGATTCTTTTTGGTGTTTTATCACCTCTATCAACTATAGCACAGGTTTCAGTGACGTCACCTATTGTTATTAATATGCCAACCAGAGAACTATTGGCTGATGGAAATAACAAAAACAATGTTTGTAAACAAATATCTTCGCCATTATTTTCAGATTTCGTTCGATCTAAGTGTACAAGAACTGATTTGACACATTATTGCAACATTGCATTGCTCCTTTAAGCTCTTGAGAATTGACATTTCAATCAATCATTTTTTATTTCTTAATAAATGTTCATTTTACAGTTGGACTGGCCCGCGGATAGCTACTTATACATTAACTCATTAGGTCTGCATGCGAGCCAAGTGGCCCATCAGGCCGGAGCTTATCCCGGTTTCTGTAGCATGAAGCGACTAGGAGTATTTCTACTCCCCCCTGGATGGGATGCTAGTCCATCGCAGGGTTACCCCCAGCATTAAGTTAACTCATTAAAAGGTGGTAAAATATGTTCGATAAACGGTTCCTGGAAAATGTATGTAACTGATGTATTTAACATGCCAGTGGCGATTATGCAATAAAGGAATGGGGATGGCGCAGTGATTCTTAGTGCTGACCAAAAGAAGCGCGGCCTCTGGGGACGAGAATGCCGGTTATCCCGTCTAGTATTCCCCCAGGAGAGCTTCTCTTGACTTCTCGTGTTTCAAGTTCCAAATCAGTTCACAGTTTATTTAGTTCACGATAAGAATCAAAGTCATTTTGCACCCTTTCAAACAGACATGAAACCATCTTTTTAAAAAAAAAAGTATTTTACGTAGGCTCTCACAAAACATAAATAGCTTCTCATTCGAAGCACCCATGATAGCTTTGAAAGACCGAGATTTTGTATATTTTTAATTATCATTATTTTGTACCTAATTTTCTAGATCAGCTTGAAATTTTTATTAGTCTATGGATTTCATTTTACTGATTTGATACCGAATTTATTTTTAATTTGATTATGGTCAGTTGTATATTTAAATAACGTAGAGTAATTTTATAAATTATTTTATTATTTCACATTTTATTAGTTAATTGTAGGTGCACATCAGCCTCACTGGCTGCCAGTCTTTGTAACCTGCATTACTAAATAAAATGATGATGATGATGATGATGATGATGATGATAAAACAACATACACCTGCTTCTTGTTAGACTACGAGCAATCCCTCTTTCGCTTAACCCGTCGAGCGAGACCGTAAATAACCCCGAGGAAAAATGGCCGCGTGAAATCCTGGGGCGAGACGCATGCTTCTCACCCCCGGGAGTTCGCGTAGTCATGTTTTTCTCGCGGTTTTCTTTCGCGTCACGCGCGACGGACTAAGCGAAAGAGAGAACTTCTCGTAGTCTAGCTTCTTGTATTATTACTTTTTTTTCAGAGGAAACGCCTTTCCTTACTCCTGCAGAGAAGCTTTTCAAATTGTACGATGGAGTGGAGACATTTGTACTGTTCATTGGATATCCTCGTAGTAGAAGCAGCTTAGTGAGCGCAATTTTGGATGCACACCCGGAAATTGTTATGTCACACGAGTGCAGTGTTTTGGAAAATTGGAAAAATACCAAGAATTAGGACTTAAGCAGAATTATATGCAAAAGTACAGATTATTTTTCGAGATTCACAGCCTTTCCACAAAACAACTGCATTTTGAAGTCGACAGCTGGGTCTTAATCATGACGCTTTCCATCAAACCTTTGTAGCGTTGCACTTTCGTCCTGCGTGGCAGACATGTCTAACACCTTTTGACCAATTGTATGTGTTGTTGTTTCTTCCAATGAAAATGCGTTGTGATCGTGTCCTCTGAGATTATTTTAGTAGGGGACGGGACGGTGTTTGCCAGTTGAAAGCTCGAAACCTATCGATTGTGACTTTTATCGTGAGGGTGTTTTGCCGGATCTTTCTGCATGTTCCGAA